CCAAAGGAAAAACAAAGTCCTAAACTAGTCTAAGTGCCTCTCCAACATCAAACGACACTTAGAACTAGTTCGTCCTTGACCTTGTCATTCATACTTTAAAAACCGAAACGATTTCCATCGACAGGGGCATGAAAACCATAATTGCCCAATCAATCACCATTACTATGACCTAACTCAAGTTGTCTCTGCAAAACACACATTAGTCACAGTAATCTTGTGTCGTCATTAATCACTAAAATCAAACTAGGGGCCTAGACACACATCTTGCCCGCCTACTCACTTCGACTAAAGCGCAGGTGTGTTTCATTTCAGAAACTAGGAACTCATCAATTACAAGAACTTCTCTTATTAATCGTTTTAATTACTCTGATGCTTTTGTAGTTCCAGCGCATGACCAGTCTGGGGGCCTTTGGTTGATTTGGAACCATGAAGTAGATGTTATCGTAGTTGATCACTCACCCTACTATATCTTTGCTTTATGTACAAATTGCACTAGTATGAAGCAATATGGTCTGATAGGTATCTACGGTGATCCTCACCACCGTACCACTAGTCACATCTGAGGTCAAGTGCTGAATTTTGTTGTAACTAATAGCAACTTGCCAATCCTATGTATGGGTGATATGAACAATATTATGCATGTAAATGAGAAGTTAGGTCCCACTTGGGCGGATATTAGACGTATAAATGCTTTCTGTGCCCATGTGAAACAATGTGGTTTTATTGATCTCGGATATAGTGGACCAATAAACGGCTTCAGTACTAATCCAACTTATGAAAGGCTTGATCGTTGTCATGGAAATGCAGAGTGGTGTGTGGCTTTTCCCTCAACAACAATCTACCATCTTCCGATGCTCTGTAGTGATCATGCTCCTATCCTTGTTGTGCTAAATTCTACATGTTACAAAACTAATTGTCCTTTTCGTTTTGAGAACTGGTGGCTCAGGGAATAGGAATACCACACGATAGCCCATCAGAATTGGCAACGATCGGCTTCAAGAACTTTCACCCAGAAAGCTGCATACGTGGCTCAGGATCTATGTAAATGGAGGAAAACTAAACCAAGAATACCTGACCAGCTTGCTTTGATTGAAAACCAACTTCTTCAGCTCCAGGCCAACCCCTCGAACCAGCAGAACCTCTCCTGCAAAATGACCTTGCCCACCAGCACCAAGAACTCTTAGCCAGAGATGAAGCCTACCACTTACAGCGAGCCAAAAAGGAGTGGGCTCTCCATGGGGACCATAACACCTCCTATTTCCATCACTCTATCGCCAAAAGGACCAGAAGGAACCGCACCACCCACATGCTAAATCCGGACGGCACTCATTCCACCACACCTGACCAATTAGCCTCCACGCTCAGTAATTATTTCAAATCCATTTTTACTTCCAACAATCAGGTGCCTCGGCAGCTTACCGGTTCCCAGCGCATCAACCACCAAGTCAATTCTACCCCACCTTTAACCTCTCCTGCAGCCAGTGATTTGAGGCCTACACAAGATGGCACTGCAGATGCTGCATCAGGTATCGGAGACATTCCTGCTACTGATACTTACACTAACTCTACTCCAGATATGCAGGAACTCTGATGCTGTCAGGAACACGAGGAACAATGGTAGCCCGGGACCTGACGGACTCAATGCTGCCTTCTACAAATCGGCATGGTCATGGATAAAAAATGATGTCACCAATCTGGTAACTGATTTTTCTTCACCTGCCCAGTTCAGTGCTGATATTAACAAAACTTCCATAGCCTTAATTTCTAAAAAAGAGCAGCCCATAGTACCTCAGGATTTCAGACCAATTAGTCTTTGTAATGTTATATATAAAATAATTGCCAAATCTCTAGCAAATAGGATCAAACCTCACCTTCCGAACTACATTAATCATGCTCAATTGGCTTTCATTCTGGCAGACATATTTCTTCCAATGTAATCATCACTCAGGAAATTATTCACTCTTTCAATCTTAAAATCTGGAATCACAAGGCTTTTATACTTAAATTAGACTTAGTAAAAGCTTTTGATAGACTTGAATGGGATTTCACTGAGTCTGCTCTACATCGTCAAGGGTACCATCAACATTTCATTAATCTTATACATGCTTGCATCTTCTCTCCTACTTTTTCTGTTTTGGTCAATGGCGAGCCATCGCCTACTTTTCCTTCCCAACGTGGTATTCGCTAGGGATGTCCGTTGTCACCGTATCTTTTTGTTATTGCTATCAATGAGTTGTCCATCAGGTTGCAATCGGAGTTGGAGAACAGGAACCTTTCTAGCGTCGCTTTGGGGCCGGGCTGTCCACCCATTCATTCCCTCCTGTTCGCTGATGACCTCATCCTCTGTGGTCAGGCTTCGGTGGCCGAAGCCACCAACATCAATTCCATCCTTCATCACTTCTGTCGGCTCTTGGGTCAAACCGCCAACCTCCAGAAATCTTCCATCCTTTTTAGTAAGAATGTTGATAATACTACCAAATCCCAAATTAAAGTCATCTTTCCTATCCTGGATTTGCTTCCTAACACCATGCATCTCGATCACCCCATCATCTTCAGTCATAGGGACAGGAACAAGGCTTATGACTTTATTATCAACAGATTTCACTCCAAACTTACCACTGTTAGGGCCAATAAGCTCAATCACGCTGGTCGTCTTACTTATATCAAATCTGTCCTTGCCTCTATTCCGGTCTACTATTTGTCTACTGTCCTTTTCTTCAAAACCTTTGTGGAGAAGATCACTGCCATCATCCATAGATTCTGGTGGACTGGTGTCCAGGATGATAATCCCACCAATTCTATTGCCTTCCGTTCTTGGGATGATATTTGCCAATCCAAGGAGAATGGAGGTCTTGGCATCAGAGACCTTTACACTGTCAACAAAAGTTTTATTACTCACGCTGCTTGGAATATCGCAACTGCCAAAAATCCTTTTCTTACTAGCATAATAAAGGCCAAATATTTTCACAGCAACTCCTTCTGGACGGCTAAATCTGACGGCACTAGCTCTATCTTCTGGTCTTCTATTCTCCAGGTTAAAAAGGATCTGATCCATAACGTCATCTTTCAAATCCATAATGGCAACTCTTCCATTTGGTCCTCTCCATGGTGTCCAATCTGGGACTCAATTCATAGCCACCTTCGGTTACCTATCACCCACACCCCTCTACCGAGTGTGGTCTCTGATCTCTGGCTCCCCAATACCCGCAATTGGAACCTTGATCTTCTCTCCACCGTCTTTGACTCTCAAGCTGTTCAAATCATTTCTCAAGTCACCACGGTGGACAGCCATCATCAAGACATCCTGCGATGGACTTCGGCTGATAAAGGTGACTGCACTACAAAGAATATATATAGATCGTTAAGATCACAAGTTCAGGTTCACCTACCGACATCTGGATCAAGATGCATCCTCGTCCCCAGGCGAACCAAATCCTTCAGCGAATGTGGAAACTAAAAACGCTGCCTCCTCTCATCAAGACCTTTGCCCGGCGTCTTATCCGAAGAGCGCTGGCCACAGGATACAGAACTGCAAGATTTTCCCAACACATCGACGAACACTGCACTCACTGCGGTATAATTGAAACTGATGCCAACTTATTCTTTCATTGTGATTTTGCTCGTGCAGTTTGGTTTTCTGCCACCCCACCACTGCGTACAGATAATCTCCCACTCGAGGATGATGGTGTATAGGTTATCCTTCCATTAGTAATTACTGATTCCGTTGATGACTCATTAATGCAAAAAAATTTAACTACTTTGTGGTACCTCTGGAAAGCTAGAAATGATCAAAGATTTGGAAGCAAAACATGGACCATATGGCAGGTACACCACGCTGTGGCAATTTTCATTACCACATCGAATTTGGCATTCTGTCAGATAGGCGAACAGGATCAGATGCAAGACGACAACACCTTACTCACTGTAACAGAACCGGCACCTCCTACTGCAGCTTCAGTACACAGCACTGCAGAAACACGAGGTATACCTCCCTCTTCTCAAAACCAGAGTGCAGGTAACCAGGACACAATATGTGCACATGGAGGCCAATTACAACCTAGTGGGGATCTTCAGCACCAAGGTATGACAGGTTTTAATGCAGCAATCAACTCCACATCGATGACCCAGACGTACAGATCCAGGAATCAACCACAACATACATACCTGATACGGCTGCTAAGTCTTCTAGAGGGCATCAGGTGTTACACCGATGCCAATACGACACCTGACACCATCTCTACTCTGCCTAGGCATGCAGGATTAGGCCTGTTCATCATCAACACCCAGGTCCAACCGGCGCAAACTCTCTACATCAAGGCCAGGATGACGGGAGCCACATCGGTGCTAATGGCTGAGGCGGCGGCAATGGCACTTGCTGCTATTATCACTCACCATCTCAACATGCAGCCAATCACTTTTCTCTCTGATAACCAACAGCTTGTGCATTTCCTAAATGCACCAGATCAAGCAAATCCCTCAGAATGGAGGATCAAACACTTTACTCAGATGATCACAAACTTCACAGGCCAAAGGAATGCAAGAATTCTAAGGATTCAAAGAACTCAAATCCAGACGGCGGATGTGCTAGCTAGGCAAGCTTTTCTAGAAGCTCAGCCTCCATCCTCAGCTTTAGTTTGTACTTGCACAAATGTTGCTCATGCAACCCAATGTCCGAATCAAGAGGCACTTTTCTCTGTTGCCTTAAACTCTGTAATACTTCTTTCAGTTGCTTGCTGTTGAAATAAAGTTGTTTGTTGTAAAAAAATCCACGAATAAAGTGGTCCCCCACGTGACCAAATGCACACGCGTCCTCGCCACAGCGCGTGCCCTTGTCGCACCGAGTGCCCTTGTCGCACCGAGTGTCTCTCGCTACGCCGCCACCGTGGCCGCCCGCCTAGGTCTACGAATCTCTCCATCCCACATCCACACGGGAAGCCAAGGGAGCCATGACCATGGAGAGCGGCGAGAGGTAGCTCAAGACGTGGGTCTCGGACCGGCTCATGGCGCTGCTCGGCTATTCCCAGGGCATCGTTGTGCAGCTCGTGGTCCGGCTCGCGCAGGACTGCGCCTCCGCGGGGGATCTCGCGGCACGGCTCGTCGATCTTGGCGGTTTCCCCTCCTCCCCAGACACTGTCGCCTTCGCGGAGGACGTCTACGGCAGAATCCCCCGCAAACAGAGCGCGGCTGCCGGCGCCGAGTACCAGAGGCAGATGCAGGAAGCGGCGGCGTTGGCGAAGAAGCAGAGCGAGTTCAAGTTACTCGCCGATGACGACAGCGAGGCTGGCGTCGCCGCGTCGTCCTGTAAAAGCAGGAAGCGTTTTAGGAAGAAGGGGGTGCCCGTGCCCCAACAGGATGACGAAGAAGCGGCCGCACTCTCCGATTCTGGACGGGACCAGCGGCGGCGGCGGCGGTGCCCGGAATCGGACGAGGACGATCTCGGTGATGAGGAAGAAGAGATGAGGCGTGATCAGGCTGAGAAGGCGCAGCTCGAACGGAATATCCAGGAACGCGATGAGGCCAACACGAGGAAACTGATGGATCGGAAGCCGTCCAGGCACGAACAGGACGAGCAAGCTCGACGATCCGAGGCGATGGACAGGGGCGACACCTCGGAGCTCAGGCGGTCCTCTCGTCAAGCGTACCTGAAGAAGCGGAAGGAGAAGAAGATGGGGGAGCTGCAGTGCGAGATCGACGACAACGAGTTCCTCTTCGGCGGCGTAAGGCTGACGGACGCCGAGGAGAGGGAGTTGAAGCACAAGACCTTATTGTCCAGGGCCGTCGTGTTAGATTCATCTCTAATTCTCTAATTCTAAACTGGGGTCAACGGTCTAGTTGGATATTTGATATGCATCTTGATCGGGGATGTCGATCCACTCAGAGGACTTACGTTGCTGCGCTATATATAGAGTTGAAATCGAGTAAAGGTTGACCATGAGGTGAGTTTCTCATCGAAACCTAAACCCTAATCCCGATCGAGAGGCGAATGACGGGAAGTGCCGCCCGCCCGCTCCACGACGCGTCGACGACTTTATTGACCTCTTTCCCGAACGTCGTTGTCCATGCGCAGACTTCACCGACGAACGAGATGGCGGCTTCTGGATCATCTCCTTCTGCGGTGTCAGGTTCGACACGTTCTTCTTCTATTCCTCTCTGTCTCTCTACTTTCGATATCGCATTCACAGTAAACAGAACCCGCTAGACCTAACCCTATATGATGTTTTCGATCTCAACAATGGTATCAGAGCCAGGTCTTCTAAGGCTTTTAGATCTAGATCGGGTGAACGAAAAACGCAGTAAAATCGAATCCCTAACTCTAGTTTTGATCCAAAATTTCTAACCCTAACCGGGTAAAAGAAAATAAAAAGAGACCGGGGGGTGGCGGGCGTCACTCAACTGTCGGTCACCACTGCCACCGCGCGGGGAAAGGAGCTGCTTGCTCGTCTTCGCCGCGCATGCAAGAAAAGAACAGAGCCGCCTTCGCGGCGCCACCACGACGCACCACGCACGACGGGGCTGGCTCGGCGTCGACACGGGCTGCTCGGACGGCGCGCTCTCCTCTCCGGGAGCGCGCGCCGGAGGAGAGGCCGCCACCTCCTCCTCCGTCCGGCCATGGAGCCAGCCGCTGCTTCTCTGTGTTTGGCACAAGAGAGATAGGAGGAGGGGAAGAGAAAGAGAGGAGGGAGGAGACCTGACGCGGGGGTGAGCTTCGGCTCACCGAACCGGTGGCGTCCTCCTCACCGGCGCCGATGGCCTCTTTGGCTGCCTCCGTGCAGCGTGCGGTGCGGCAGAGAAAGCAAGAGAAAGGGAAATGGGCTTAGGGTTTTGGGGAAGCCATCGTCGCAGTTTTGTTCGCGCGAGATGGACGGACGGCCGTCGGATCAAGTCGGACGGCTCAGATTGACGCGGGGCGCAGCGGGGTGCCGAGATGGTCCGCAGCCAGCCTGAGCCAGAGTTGCGGCTCGGGCGGGGAGCGAAGCCACGCTGACTCGGCCATGAGTTCTTTGTTGGTCACAGGACGCTACGGACTTGCTTCATTGCGGCTGCAAGGCCATTGGGCGAACACTACTGTTGTCTTCTTCTTGGCTTGCACTTGGTGCAACCAATTTGGAGCTGAGCCGCACTCCATTTGGTCGGGCCAAAATAAATAGAAGAGTAATTTTTGTTTTATTATTTTTTAGAAGTGAATTTGATGAATTTTGTTTTAATTCTCTGTTAAATTTTGAACCATCAGGATAAATTTTCAGAGAATAGAGAAATTACAGAGAAATGCTTTTGGAAAATAGATAATTTTTTTACATTTTCCGCTGCTAAAGAAATAGTTTATTCTCTAGTTATTTTGAACCAACGTGATATTTAATTAGAGAAAAAGATATTTTGACATGATTATGATGTTGTTATTTTCTGACCAACGTTGTTAATAACACTATCGTAATTTTAATGATTTTATGTATTATTTTTATTTCTGCCCAACGGTGATGTAAATTTAATGTATAAACAGTTGTATATTTTTATTTTGACGAACGTTGGAATCAAGGCATGCAATTGTTATTATTATTTATATTCTCACTCTATATGAATTGTGTTTTCAGGCAGATACAACTTGATGGGTTGTATCAAAGAGATCCCCACTCTCAAAGGTGACAACTACACGGAGTGGAAGAAAAAGATTGACCTGACCTTCATCTTGGCTGAGGTAGACTAGGTAGTCACCTCACCGTGTCCCACTGAGCCTGTGGCACCGGTGAGGAAGACAAACGAGGCTGATGCCGCTTGGGCAACTAGAGAGAGGGATTTTGAATCCTAAAAGATGTCCTATGACCTTGAGCATAGGAAGTGGGTCACTGCCAACAAAAAATGTTTGGCCGTAATAAAGAACATGATTGAGCATGCAATTATGGGCTCAATCTCAGAGTGTGACACGGTCATCGAGTACCTCGATAGAATAAAGAGTCAGTTCACTAGCTCTTCAAAGACATATGCTACCTAGCTGATAAAGCAGCTGGTGACAGAGAGGTACTCTGAAAATGATGGTATAAGAGAGCACATATTAAAGATGAGCAATTTGGCATCCAAGCTAAAATCAATGGATCTGGCTCTCAAGGAAGAGTTCTTTATCCATCTGATATTTGCTTCCTTGCCAAAGGAATTTGACACTTTTATTGTCAACTACAACATATAGCCCGAGAAGTGGGACTTAGAGAGGCTCATGGCTATGTGTGTGCAAAAGGAGAGAATGAAAGCTGCCAATGGTGGCACTATCAATTATGTGAAAGACAACAAGAAAAAGAATAATAATGCTAACTCCCCCTCAAAGTCAAAGGGAAAGGGTCCCATGTTGCATCAGCCTCAGCAGAACAAGTTCACAGTAGAAAAAGACCAGTGTCTATTGCAAGAAGACAGGACATTATAAGAAAGATTATCCTGATTACTTAAACATGATCATGGCAAAAAAGGTGAGAACATTATTACGTTCATAAATGAATCCCTGTATGTACAATATTCGAAATCTACTTGGTAGATTGACTCAGGTGCAACTGTTTATGTTGCTAATTCCTTACAGGGATTCCGTTCGACGAGGACTATGTAAAGAAGAGAGACACGTTAAAGTTGCAAATAGAGTCCGAGCAGATGTTGAAGCCATTGGCGATCTTTCTCTAGAGCTTGCTGATGGCTTCACACTTTTACTTAGAGATATACTTTATGTTCCCTCTTTATAGAGAAACTTAATTAGTGTTTCATGCTTGGACAATGATGGATACGATTGCCATTTTGTAAATGACAAATGTAAGATAACATTTAATAATGCATGTGTTGGTCTTGTTATCTTACAAAATAAGCTTTATTTGTTATCACTACGTGATGACGTGAATGTTATATGCGATGATGGGAACGTTGCGTGCGACAATGAGAATGTATCCTCGTCTGCGGATGTAAACAGAAAACAAAAGAGAGCTCACGATGCGTCGTCGAAATTATGGCACTGTCGTTTAGGCCATATTTTGAGGAGAAGAATAGAAAAACTAGTTAAGAATGATATTCTTCCTTCATTAGAGTTCTCAAATTTAGAACAATGCAGAGAATGCATAAAAGGAAAGTATGTAAAGAAAATTAAGAAAGATGCCAAACGAAGCGCAGGAATTTTACAGATTATTCACATAGACATCTGTGGTCCGTTTTCTGTAAAGAATGTGGATGGTTATGATTCATTCAGAACATTCACAGATGATTACTCCTATTATGGCTATATTTATCCAATCAAAGAAAGAACAGAAGCATTGAATAAATTTAAGATATTTAAGACAGAAGTTGAAAACCAACACAATTTAAAGATTAAGATAGTTAGGTCCGACAGTGGGGGGAAGTACTACGGTCGGCATAACCCATATGGCCAAGTTCCTGGACCTTTTGCAAGGTTCTTATAGGAGAATGGCATAGTAGCCTAGTATTCTACACCGGGCGAACCTCAGCAGAATGGAGTAGCTGAAAGACGCAATCGTACCCTGATGGATATGGTGCGCAGTATGATAAGTTACTCCACCTTACCGTTGAGCCTGTGGATGGAGGCGTTAAAAACTGCCATTTATATTCTCAACAAAGTACCAAATAAGTCGGTGCCCAAAACACCGTATGAGTTGTGGACAGGAAGAGTACCCTCACTAAACAACTTACGTGTGTGGGGGAGTCCTACTGAGGCTAAAGTATTTAACCCAAACATTGGGAAGTTAGATCCCAAAATAATAAGTTGCCATTTTATTGGCTACCCAGAAAAGTCAAAAGGTTTTCGTTTCTACTGTCCAGAAAGATATACAAAGTTTATGGAAACGAGACACGCTGTCTTCCTAGAGGATGAAATGATGAGGAGGAGCATGGTAGCTTGAGAAATTGACCTTGAAGAGAAGCGGGTGTATGCGCCCACTCCGATGATTCATGAGCCATTTTTCTCACTACCTGCAGTTGCTGCACCGATAGTGCAAGATACTGTGGTGCCAGCACCTGTTGTTATTCCGCATGTGGCAACAATGAATGACAATGAGAAACCTGTTCTTCAGGATCCTGTAGAACCTATTGCCACACATGAGGGGGAGCAACAACAGCCTCAAAACAGAAGATGTGCCAAATATGAAGGCCCCTAGAAGGTCTCAAAGAGTTAGAAAATCAGCTATTCCTGCTGACTATGAAGTATACAACACCGAGAAATTTCAAATGGAGGATGATCCCACCTCATTTGAAGAAGCCATGAGAAGTGATCATTCATCAAAGTGGCTTGAGACCATGGAAGATGAAATGAAATCTATGAATGCCAATAAAGTTTGGGACTTGGAAATAATTCCTAAATAAGCCAAAACAGTAGGTTGTAAATGGGTATACAAAACAAAACTTGACTCTTAAAGGAATATAGAGAGATATAAAGCGCGACTTGTGGCAAAAGGCTTTACGCAAAGAGAAGGCATTGATTACGATGAGACCTTTTTTTCAATCTCATGTAAGGATTCCTTCAGAATCATAATGGCATTAGTGGCACATTACGATTTAGAATTACATCAGATGGATGTAAAGACGACATTTCTCAACGGGGACTTGGAGAAAAATGTTTACATGGCACAACCGAAAGGTTTTGTCATGGAAGGAAAAGAACGAATGGGATGTCGCATAAAGAAATCCATTTATGGATTAAAACAAGCTTCAAGACAGTGGTACTTGAAGTTTGATTAGACAATAAGGAATTTTGGGTTTAAAGAGAATGTAGAGGACAATTGTGTCTATGCAAAGTTTAAGAATGGGAAGTTTATCTTCCTTGTCCTGTATGTGGATGATATCTTAATTGCTAGTAGTGATGTCAGTCTACTATTGGAGACAAAGAAGCTTTTGTTCTCAAAATTTGATATGAAAGATCTTGGTGAAGCTTCGTTCGTTTTAGGGATCGAGATTCACTGAGATAGAAGTAAAGGGGTTTTAGGACTGTCACAAAAGGCATACATAGAAAAGATCTTAAAGAAATTCAACATGCACAAATGTAGTCCCTCGCCTGCTCCTATAGTCAAGGGCGATAGATATGGGGATTTTCAATGCCTCAGGAATCAGTATGAGATCGATCAAATGAAAATGGTTTCATATGCTTCAGCTGTCAGAAGCTTGCAATATGCTCAAGTATGTACACACCCTGACTTGACATTTGTTACCGGGTTACTTGGCAGATTCCAGAGCAATCCTGGAACAGAACACTAAAAATTAGTAAAGAAAGTCTTGCATTATTTGCAAGGAATGAAAAGCCTCATGATGACGTATAGAAGATCAGATTCACTCCATATAGTGGGATATTCAGATTCTGATTATGTAGGAGATGAGAGAAAATCCACATCTGGATATGTATTCACTCTCGCAGGGGGAGCTATTTCATGGAAAAGCTCAAAGCAAACTGTCACTACATCGTACACAATGTATGCCGAGTTTGTAGCGTGTTATGAGGCAACGGGGTAGGTGAACTGGCTAAAGAAGTTCATACCCGGTTTGAAAGTGGTTGACGACATCTATAGACCACTTAAGTTATACTGCGATAATAACTGGCAGTACAGTATGCTCACAACAATAAGTCAAGTGGTGCTGCCAAACATATTGACATAAAGTATTATATTGTAAAAGATAAAGTCCGAGATCATGTCATAAGTTTTGAGGATATAAGTACCAAAAAGATGCTCGCGGATCCACTTACAAAAGGCTTACCACCCAACGTGTTCAGAGAACATGTAGCTGGCATGGGTTTAAGGGAAAGCCTATAATTCTTGGATAAAAGAAGGCCCAAAGTTAAGTATCTATTTCAAAACACAGTAGTGTGTTGTAGTTGTTAAATCTATCGATAATTGACCATGACAATGAAACATGCTTTATGCGCTAATCTGTAATGGAATAAACAAAAGTAAATGATATGAAATTAAAAGATGGTAGGTGATCAAGGGGGAGATTGTTAGATTGATCTCTAATCCCAAACTGGGCCCAACAACCCAGTTGGGCTAGTTGGCTGGATGGCCCCTGTCACACTGCGCTATATATAGAGGTGCGGGCCGATGGCTCTGAGTACGAGGTTGACTATGAGCCGAGTTCCCCACTGAAACCTAAACCCTATTCCCGATCAGAGAGGGGCGCAACCAGCGACGGGAAGCCACCAGCCGCGCCGCCCCGCTCCACCGACGTCGACGACTTCATTGACCTCTTCTTTGAACGTCGCTGCCTGTGCGCAGACTTCACCGATGAACGAGATGGCGGCTTCTGGACCATCTCCCTCTGCGGTGTCAGGTTCGACACATTCTTCTTCTATTCCTCTCTGTCTCTCTACTCTCGATATCGCATTCACAGTAAAGAGAACCCGCTAGACCTAACCCTAGATGATCTTTTTGATCTCAACACGCCACGCCGATCAAGACAAAGGCGCAGGCGATTAATACCGGATGCCTGACGCCTACGACGATGTCACGAACGTGGACCAGAAGAGTAGGTTGTCCGTGGCGAGACGACGTCATGACAACGATGATCGTGAAACCAGAGGCTCCAAGGGGAAGGCTTTCTCAGAGCAGGAGTCCTAGGAAGAATAGCAGATCAGGAAGTCTCAGCTGCAGTTTGGATCGAAGGATCGTGGCGGCGCCAGCGATGAATATGAGTTGGTGTTTGACGATGCCGTTGAGTTCGTCAAGTCTACGGTGGCGATGGCGGGCATGGAGCAGGACGAAGAGACGGACGAACTGGCCGACGAAATTGATGCCAAGGTCACGCTGCAAATGGAGCTCCAATACGAGAGGAAGACTCTCCTGGTGTACAAGTTCAAGGACAAGCTGCTCAAGGCCATCACCGAGCACCAGATCATCATCATGGTCAGAGAGACCAGCTCCAGCAAGACGATGCAGATACCACAGTATCTTCATGAGGCAGGGTACATGGCCAATGGCCTGAAGATCACGTGCACCCAGCCGCGCCGCGTGGCTGCTATGAGCGTGGCGGTGAGGGTTGCGTAGGAGATAGGCGTCAAGCTCGACCACATGGTGGGATACTCCATCCGGTTCGAGGACTGCACGTCGGAGAAGACGGTTGTCAAGTACATGACCGACGGGACGCTCTTGCGTGAGTTTCTCGGCGAGCCGGACCTGGCCAGCTATGGTGTGGTGATCGTGGATGAGGCGCACGTGCGTACGCTCACCACCAACATCCTGCTCGGCCTTGTCAAGGACGTCGCACGTTTTTGCCCGGACCTGAAGCTGTAATCTCCAGCGTGACACTCAACGCGGAGAAGTTCAGCGACTACTTCGACATGGCACCGGTGTTCAAGATCCCTGGGAGGAGGTACAACATGGACATCCACTACATGGTGGCGCCGAAAGCCGACTACGTTGACGCGGCCGTGGCCACGGTGCTGCAGCTGCATGTGACGCAGCCCCCCGGCGACATCCTGTTGTTCCTCACAGGGCAGGAGGAGATCGAGACGGTGGAGGACACTACGTAAAAAATGATTTTTAGCAATGGGTCGAATTTTTTGTAGGGGTGGCTGGTGATGGAGCCGCCCCTACAGTGCCATGCTCGGGTGCCCAGACACCAGCCGCCCCTATAAATGGAACAGCAGGGGCGGCTGGTGATACTAGCCGCCCCTACAAATGGGTCTGATTTATAGGGGCGGCTCACTCACCAGCCGCCCCCGGCGTTTCTATTTGTAGGGGCGGCTCCATCACTAGCCGCCCCTACAAATGGCCCCCGTGTAAATAGCTCTGATTTGTAGGGGTGGCTCAATCACCAGCCGCCCCTACAAATGGCCCCCGTATAAATAGCTCCGATTTGTAGGGGCGGCTCAATCACCAGCCGTCCCTACAAATGACCCACATATAAAACAGCTGCAACACCTTCTTCCTCCTCGGGTCACTCACTCCAACTCGTGAAAGAAAGGTGGGGAGGCCTTGGGCACCTCCCAAAAATTGCTCTACTAAGGGGGAAGGTTTTGGTCTCAAATCCTTTGGTGGAGAGGTTGTAGAAGGTAAGAAAATGCTATTCCACACTTTTTTTAGTTTTAATGGTTGGTTAGTGAGTAATTAAAGTTTTGTTTTTCTCTCTCTTCTATGGTGCTTGAGCTACTTATGAAGCAAATTAGACCCAAGTTTCAAATGTACTAGGGTAAATTGGGGAGAGGAACAAGATCATACCCTTATTTGGTCCATGTTTCTTGATTTTAGTGAACAATTAGTTAGTTTTATGCATATTTCATGTGCATGTAGATCTAGATCTAGGGTTTAGGTTTTTTTATTAATTTCGTTTTTGTAAATTTGGACTAAGGTTTGTATGAAAGATATTGGGTAAAGTATAATTGTTGCTAATTTTTGTCTTTAAAATTGTTTATTGTAATCAATAAATATGTATTTTAATTAATTATGGATAAATGGGCCATTAATTAATTTTCCTCTACCATGGTGTGTTTGTATGCTTCATGTAATTATATTAGATTTATATTCATATATGTCTGAAGTATATACAATTATTCTCAAGTAATTATTAATTTGATTCATTTTTATATATATGTGAATAAGTAGTCCTTTAATATTTGTTTTGTTGTTGTTGTAAAAGATGGAGTACAGGAACTCTTAGATGTATGGTTCGTTAAGGTTCAAAGCAGGTTTCCGTGAAGAGGTGGATAAATTTATTGAAGCCGCAAAGAAGCATGCAACGACATTGAAAAAGAATAAGGATATAATTATTTGTCCCTGTAAAGATTGTAAGAACCATATGGTATGGACAGATGTGACTATCATCAGATCACATTTGATTATACGAGGATTTGTTGAGGACTACACAGTGTGGATTCATCATGGTGAAATGGTTATTGTTAACGACAAGGATGAGGAGGAATACAACGACGAAACCATAGAATCCCTGTCCCAATATTCAGCAGAGCTTGATGCACGAATGGATTTCGAGTTTGGCAATGAACAAGGTGGTGATGCTGGTGGTTGGGATGGTAACGACGAAGGTGGTGCTAATAATGATGGTGGAGCACGTGTCGGGGATGAAGATGATTTGAAGGACATGATTCGAGCCCTTAGACCAGAGATTTTACTAAATAGCCCGAAAGGTCTAGAAAATTTGGAAAGGGTGACAAAAGCATCGAAGGAGACTATGTATGGTGTTAAAAGGGTTATCCGACACATTAGACATTGCTACGTTTTGTGCATGAGCTGCTCATCCTGAAGGCTAAGTACGACTGGTCAGACTGTAGTTTCAATGATCTATTGCATCTCCTGTCATGGGTGCTGCCACAACCAAACTCAGTTCCCGCCAATGCATACCAAGCGAAGAAGGTCATAAGTCCATTGACAATGGGGGTTGAAAAAATCCATGCATGCCCCAACCACTGTATACTTTTTCATGGCAAAACGTTCAAGTCACTGGATAAATGTCCCCGGTGTGGGGCCAGTCGGTACAAGAACAATGACATTTACGGTGGGGACGAAGCCTCCACGGGGAATAAGAGGAATAAGAAGGGTACAAAAAAAGGTGGTATAAGAATCTCAACCCCTAGCTTCATTAGGCAACGATGCAAAGCAAAGAAGAATTCCTGCTTTGGTAATGTGGTACCTGCCAGTGACCGACCGCTTGAGACGTATCTTCCTAAACCCTAAAGAAGCCACACTCATGACATGGTGGGATGATGAGTGTAAGGTGGATGATGATAAGATTGCACACCCGGCTGATTGTAGTCAGTGGCAAAGGTTTGATGAGAACCACAAAGAATTCAGCGATGACCCAAGGAATGTACGGTTTGGCTTGAGCACCGATGGAATGAATCCCTTCAATAAGAGGATGAGCGACCACAGCACATGGCTAGTGATCTTGACCATGTACAACATCCCAACATGGTTGTGTTAGAAGAGAAAGTACCTTCTCCTCACTATTCTTATTTCTGGCCCTAAACAACCAGGCATTGATATAGACGTGTTCCTCGAGCCTTTGATGCAAGAAATGGAGAGGCTATGGAGGCATAGGGAGCAGATGTACGATACGTTCCGAAAGGAGGACTTCATATGTAGAGCAATTATATTTGTTACTACCAATGATTACCCCACGCTGTTTGCTTTGTCTGGATAGATCAAAGGGAAGACAGGATGCTTGGTTTGTTTGGATGGTACTACATGGGTGTACCTGGATGCATCCAAGAAGATAGTTTACCTAAGGAACCGACGCTTCTTAAAGACAAGTCACAAGTACCGCCGCAAATTGTTCTTTTGATTTTATGACAACACCCTGGAGATTAAACCCCCTCTGGAGAGACATCACAACGAAGAACACGTGTACAGAATGGTGAAAAACATATGCGTCGTCCATGGAAAGAAGAATCCGGATGGGATGAACAGAGATAGAAGCACACCTCCTGTCGATGGCGTACCTTTCAAGAAACAATAGATCTTCTTTCAGTATTTACCTTATTGGTCAGACTTGGAGGTCCCCCATGCCATTGATGCTATGCATGTGTAGAAGAATGTCTTTGAGAGTCTCATTGCTACCTTGATGGACACAGGCAAGTCAAAGGATGGTCTGAAAGGATGGAAAGACATGGTGCAGCTAAACATGATGCCACAGCTTCACCCGGTACATGAGGCTAATGGAAAATACACTCTGCCCGCCGTGGCGTGCTTCAACCTAACACCAGACAAGAAGAGAGCTATATGCACTTTCCTGAGGGGGATCAAAGTCCTGACTAGGTTTTCAGCAAATGTGAAGAAGCTAGTGTCGATGAAGGATTTGTCAATAACACATTGCAAGGCTCACATTGCCATGTGATGCTGACAGTGTTTCTACCTATTGCAATTAGGGCTATAAAGCCAGAGTTCTTGAAAATAGCCATCACCCGCATGTGCTACTTCTTTTCAAAGATCTCACAGAAGATGATTAGCAAGTAAGAGCTGAGTGACCTACATGAATTTGTGGTGGAGACACAAAATCAACTAGAGATGTGTTTACCTCCTGCTTTTTTTGATATAATACCACATCTCATGATTCACATGGTTCATTAGATACAGGTGTTGGGCCCTTGCTACTTGCATGAAATATGGTCCTACGAGCGGTTCATGTTGGTTCTAAGTTGATACGTGCATAATCGAGCATACCTAGAGGGCTCCATGATAGAGGGTTACAGTACTGAAGAAGTCGTCGAGTGTTGTCAAGAGTACCTAAAAGTACAGAAAGGGATTGGTAAACCCGATTCTCATCACAAGGGTAGGCTGGCTAGGAAGGGCACCAGTGGTAGAAAAGTGTTCATCGACCATGATTACAAAGAGGTGAGTCGGGCGCATTATAGTGTCTTGCAGAGTACACAACTGATGCAACCGTACATTGATGAACACTTGGCTATCATTCTGGCGGAGAGAAATAACCGTTCGGATGATTGGGTCATGAAACAACACAAGCAACGACTAACTACATGGTTGAAGGACCAAAACATACCGCCTAGACAAACCATAGACTCTATTACCATCAGTAGGTTAGCAGAGGGGCCATCGAGACAAGTGATATCTTGGAATGCTTATGACATCAATGGGTATACGTACTATACCCACGCAAAGGATAGTAAATATGTGAACCAAAACAGCGACGTTTGAATAGAGGCTCTCGATGGATTGGGGCGAAAGATCCAATACTTTGGCATCATTGAAGAGATATGAGAACTTGACTATGGAAGGGATATAACGGTGGCCCTGTTTCGATGCCGCTGGATCAAACAACACCAACTGAACGAGATCGGATTGAGAGTCCTGGACCTCGAGAATCTAGGCTACCAAGATGACCCTTGGGTGCTCGTTTCACGTGTCGCACAAGTTTTCTTTATGTCTGACCCACAAAGTAACCTCCCCCCGAAGAAGAAGACAAAGCACGTGGTTGCCTCCGGGAAACAGCACATTATTGGAGTTGATGGTGTGGACGATGTTGAAGCTTACAATAACTACGATGAGATGCCGCTATTCATAGACTTTCCTAAGAAGATCAGTGTTGTGGAAAAGAACCTCCCCAAAGACTTATTACCATGGGAACAAAAAGGTGTCAAGGGGAAAGTCGTTACAGCGGGCTAGCTAGTTGTTGAACGTGGAGTGTTTATGTAAGTGTGTGTTTGTAAGACTTCATTTATGGATGTGTGTGAGACTATATATTTATGTACGTGTGTAAGACTACATATTTTTTTGTGTGTGAGACTACATTTATGCATGTGTGTGAGACTACCCTTTGCAACATCCAGATGACTCTATTTGAACATCCACTCTATTATTACTAAAACTTAATGAAATCACTTAACACTTTATGAAATAAAGAAATGACCAAAATAAAAGTAGGAGATCTTGACGAGTTATACAACTTTTATATTCATCACCTTTATAGCTGAAATCATTTAGTGTTTGAAAATCAGGTTTGAAGCTGTCATTTTCTGAAATTTAAAATTTGAATTATTCAAAA